TATGGCAACATGTTCGTTTGCATTTTTCAAAAGTAATTTTGCGGTTGAATTCGCCATGTATATAGATGACATGTATGAAGAGGCATTTGCTCTATCATACAAACGACAATGAATACATGAATAGCAGGTCTGTCGTATAGCAAGAAAAAGAAGCTGTCACAGACTGATTTCGGCTCCATAAAATACAAACAGCTGGCGGCATATTTAACAACGACAGCAACAACGACGACGAACGACGACACAACAGCACCGAAACACGGTGACAGAAATCCTAATTGGCTATGGAGAATATCAACGGCACACTGTGTTTTGTATGCATGGTGATTTGTCAGGAGACCGGTGACGCTCAACTAGTAACAAGATACACGGCATCACCAACAAAGTTAATTTTCTCATTTCCCTCGACACACACACACACTCATAGTCGCTCGTTCGCTTGCTCGCATTCAGAAATCTGTGTAATTAATTGATCTGCCCCGATGATGTTATTACGAGTTAATTTGATTGTTTCGAGCCAATTATCAATGCACTGCACATGAAATTAAATTAAAGCAATTATTTAGCAAGCTATTTAAATTGTGGTTCATCTAGCGCAACGGAGACGCTTTCCAATTTTGAGAATTCTTGCATCGCAAAAAAAAACATGTTGCTATTCCAAGCAAATGCCGCAAAATTGTAATCTTTGTTATTGATATCTAGGGAAATTCATTTAATCCAAATAGCTCATCAAAGAGTTTGAAACCACTACCGAAAGCAAAAAAAAAAACCACTCAATTTATGTATAGTGTGTTTGTTTATCGGCCAAAAAAGCAGAAGTTGGATTTTTGTTTCGATTTATGGAAAAAGTGGGGAATTCGAGCGAAGCAAAAAGTGTGGTATTCATCAGTGGCTTCACATTTCGTGGAAAGTGAAAAGCAAACACGAACCTTTTTACAACTTCAAAATCAAAGTTTGCAAATTAAATTTAATGCATGGCGTTTGCTGTTTTGGATGCTGCCGTAGAGAGATGGGTTTTGGGAGAGTGGCTCAATTGATTTGCTCTATAACAGGCGCACTTCACATAACGTGGTGGGTCCTTTTTTGCGATTCAAACGCGCTGTTTTACGAGTTGTTTGCCTTTATTTGAATGTGATTTAATTTGTATGCATCGAATTCATCGGCAGAGAAGCCAGAAAAACCCAAACATCCCTACATTTTAAAATGCAACTAATGAATTGGCATTAGTGCGACGCATGAGGATTGCTATCTTCACTGTGTGTGTATTGATTTCGGTGTGTCAGCACGTGGCAGGGGCGGTGTTCAAATGTGCGTACAGCGTACACATTTGTGGGAATTCGAAACCAATAATTTATACATGGTCGATTTCGGTTTCATAGACAGAGACATCAAAACACGGCACATCGTTCACCAAGGTAACGCATTAGTCAGTCACCGCACCGTCAGTGCACTTTCAATTGAAATAATTTGAACATATTCAAAATTGACGAATTGACGACAATTGAGAGACAGAAGGAGAGGTGTTTTTTTTTCGGCAACGTCACGCGTTTTTATTGAAAATTAAGCCATTTGAACGAACATATTGTTATACATTTTGAGAGAAGAGAGAAGAGCGAGCGACAGACACAGACCGCCGCCGCCGCCTGTCTGTCGCTATAGTGCGTGCAATTTGTTTGATTAATATGATGAAAATGATTTTTGTATTCATAGCACAAACAACGACAGCCAAAGCAAAAGTATGAAATGGGAAAAAAGATTACATCAGATTACTTTATCCTCGCGACAACGATGACGACGAAGAACGACACCGTCAGTCAAAATGCCTAGCACACTGTAAATGCATTAGAGAAAAAGGGTGCGGAAGAATTTGAACCGTTGTATGGAAAGCATTACGTGTTCATGCGGTTCTTTGCATCGACTGTAATTTCAATGAAAATTACCATTGCCACGTGCGCAACGTGAGATATTGCCGTTGCAGTGTTATCAATTGGATTTACCTAACAAATGTATATATGTTCACGTTGGGAGTGTGTTATCTTCGATCTAATTTCGTATTGAATGTTACGAAACTGAGAATTACATGTTCAGTTCACTCTGTCTCATTTTCACGGTAAACGTAAAGGGAAAAATTCATTTATTTCGAAATTACATGAGAATTAACAGAACATTGTTCACCATAATCACATTGTATGGGAGTGCGTCGGTTTTGGGTTTCAATTAAAAATCAAGTGCAATTTGAACGTACACTCAACGATTTGTTTATGAAAACAAAAGAGAGAGATTTTTCCGATGTTTCACTCGACTCATACTCATCGTCGTCGTCGTCGTCGTCGTCTCCGTTGTTCGGTTTCCACTTTCACATTCCGGCAAACGGAAGTGAGAGTTGGGAATGTTGTATGTTGTGTGTTAAGTCGCTTAAATAGCTTTCGAACGTTTGTTTCTTTGTGTTTATCGCCCTCGAAAAATATTTAAATTTATTGCATTTAAAATTTGTTGGTTTTGAACAATTGGAAATTCCGATAAAATGCGCGAGACTCTTGTCTCTAAACCTCTTGCAGACGAAAAGGGGATATTCTACGCTACCAAAATCGAGTTATGCAAACGACACACGGAGTTGAATTTTCATTAATTACTTGAAACGCCGCGAATTTTATCCCGATTGAAACAGCCGTTTACATATACATAATTGTGTTTCGTTATTCGGGAGCGAAACCGGCGAATGCAATTGAATTGTCATTTTTCGATGAGCAAACAAAAAAAAAACGCCTTCCTCCTCAACCGTTGTGTCAGTGTTTGACCGATAAGACAGTGCGATGGTAATTTAGCGAAGAATAATTCTCAAGATTTCTTCTGTTTTGTTTTTGTTTTTTTTTGGTCGGTTGTTCCAGACAAAGGAGGAACCCTTTTTTTCCCGGAAGACGACCGACCGAACAACAACGCATTAAGACCGACAAGTTTTCTTACTTTAACAGCGATTTCTTTTCGCCGGTTCTGGTTTTATTGCCGTAGGAAGATCCACTTTGAAAGTTTCCCTCCTGCTTCGCAACACTGAATTTTGTATGTCCTCAGTCGATAATAAACTTTATGCAAACAATTTAAATATAAATTATAAATACATTTGACCGAAGCAAAAGCGAATCCTATTACGTTCTTTTTTTTCTTGCTGAATGGAAGCCGAACAGTTCACCTACCGAATTTCACTCGGTCGTAATCATTTTTGATGTTTTTTTTTCTTCGTTGTTGTTTCAGCCGCGCCTTGAAGCGACGCTTTCCCCATGACAACACACACACACACACACACACACACACACACACACACACACACACAGACACACATACACCAAGAAAAAAGAGACCGACGGAAAGAAAAGTAGAAGACGAAAAAAAAATCACTTTTACGCTTTGTTCACGCTAACGATTCGCGCCCTACTCGTTTTTTTGCTTCTTAGTATGCACACTAGATTCTCCCGATCCATCTTTTATCCACGACATTAAAAATATTTCCCGTTGAAAGTGAAAATGCACACATTTTTTTCGCTCGCTCATTCGCTCTTTTGCTCAATGTTCCGAGCATCTACTTATTTATTTATCTATGTTGTGCGGGGACGCCCTCTTTGTGAGCATGAGTGTGAATAGACGCGTGCAATGCACGAAAAATTATGTTGATGGCGATGATAATATTGGCAGTGGTGGTGGTGGAACGAGATTTGTCCATGTTGTTGTTTTCTTAGTTGTCGTCATCGTCGTTCGGCACCATCGTTATTTCACGCTAGAAAAATTCGACTAGATTAAGATGTCAAACCATTTATGTCAGTTGATTTTCTTTTATGGACCGTTGTCGTTGGCATTTGATATATATTTTTGCCCAAAAACGATACGGTAGTCGATTTCACCGAGTTGACACTCATCCGATTCGACTCACGGTCCACTGTTTGTTGATGCGGCTGAGAGATGAAGGTGTCTTTGACCCATTTTGTTGCATAAACAACGTAATTTAATCAAAATCACAAGTCTATCGTCGTTTCTTCCGAAAATGTTTGCTCAACCCAATGCACACCACATTTATTATTTAATCTTATTATGAATTTCCGCGTGTGTGTGTTCACTTTGACTGTTTCGCAGTTTCCAACAAAGTTCCACTTCATTCAACACTGATATATTAGTAATATCCAATGGGACGTATCAATCGGAATATCTTTTCCTTAGCCTCTTGTCTTTCTTTTCTTTTTTTGTTTATTCGATCGACATGCAATATGAATATAAAAATAAAAATTTATGAACAGTGAATTGCTCACTACAAAATGTTCCATCTAATGTACCAATTAAAAATTCATGAAGACGTTCGCTCTGGTATATGGTTTTTTCCGCATTTATAACCGTCAATGATTATTTGCAGCAATTTCGTTTTTATTCATGCCATTAAAATGAAATGGCCCATTGACTTTTGGACGATGTCAACACATTCAATTCAAAGTTTATTATAAATTGAATATGCATGCTGTCTTTGGTCGTTTTGCGAATGCAATTTTACTTTGATGACGTAATTCATATACGTCTATAAATGAATAAATGTGTATTTGAATGTCATTCACTTTTGTTCAGGGAAGAGATGAAAAAATAAGAAACAGAATGGGGATGATTCTTAAAATGCATAACAACGGTACAAACTCATTTGCTGGGAAGAAATTTTTATTTTTAGATTTAATGAATTTCGTGAAAATACCTTCCAAATTCCATTTTCTATTGAGTAAATTGACATTCTTCAACGTTTACTTCAAAATTATTTCATTATTATGATTTCATCGATTTGTGGATATGTTTTCTAACTTCCCAATGTATTGATTGAAAATTTATTTTTATGAAACACTTGGAAATTGACACACATCGAAAGAGAAATTAAACATTTCGAACCTTTTTATTTTTGAATGACGATTTTATTATCTCCTTGATAAATTCCTTGGCATCATTTTATTCGTAGCTAAATATGTACAAACAAATATGATTCAAACAATTAGAGGACTATATTTACGGCCTGTTATGCCCAAACCGGTGACTTTGTACAGTGAAGAGCCATTTTGTGAAATCACTTCTGCAGCTAAAGTATACGCATCAACTATGGTAGATGCAGCACTGACAAATAAAATATCTCTATTCGGTCCACCAAATGCAAATGAACTTGTTCCGTTAATGGGCAATTTTGCAACTACCTCTGCTTTATGTGATCTACAGGAAAGGGATTAAAGCATACAGTCGAATAAAATCTTAATTTCATTTTGAAAAAAATAAATAACTTACTTTACATCAAGTTTCCAAACTGAATTTCCTCCATATTCATTGGTATAAACAAATCCATCAGTATCTGTGTCTAAATTAATGAAGATTTGACTAGAATTATGACGCGCTGAAAGTATTACAAAAGGAAAAGAACAATTAAATAAATGAATTTTAATCTAAAATCGTTTTCAAATGCATTGATAATTACATAAAGTGTTGACGTCAAATGCTACACGACCATTGGCTAGAAAAAAAGAGCAACCTATTATCACATTTGTTCATTTCTAAATTTATATATTGAATAACATACAGATATTCCCGTTAGGATTCAAACGAAACTGCTTGATCACCTTCGAACAAGGGTCAAAGTGGTAAAGAATATCTTTATAGAAAGTCAGACCGTCTGTAGTTTGTGTGCCGGTGAAAAGTTGTTGCAGTCCTTTCATTTTTGTATACGTGTAAAATGATGAATTCTTAGGTCCACTGCAGAAGGTGGTATGATGTGTTCCACCATAGAATATTCCTTCATCGCTTGTACGTGCGGTGGCTACACCGCTCGTCGAATCGCTTTCTTCAACACCAAAAAGTCTACTCACAATATTAGCTGTCGGAGATCTTCCATCCCATTCAACTATTTCGGTAAAGTGCCCGACACCGACGGCAAAAAGATTTTGAGTTTTATTCTTCGATTTAATTGGCAGAATGAATGAAGGGTATTGTTGTCCAGCTATAGAAGCTGAATATATTTTGTCCTCTTCAAAATCATAGCGAAAAATTATTGGATTACTGCTCGAGCCAAGGAAATCTACATAGTACAAACTTTGTGAAGAACTTTCCCAAATCAATGAGTATGGAAAAAGAGCTTCAGCTGTTTGAATTTTTGTAATTTGTGGCCCAGAACATTTCGAATGCGATGAAACCTGAAAAACACATTGAATGGTTTCATTGAATTTAACTTATGAAGCTCTTAATCATAATTACCCTAACATAGTAAACATGTTTGCTTTTAAGATCTATAAATACCTACCTTCGTGCAAATCACAAAAAGAATACTTGAAAAAAAGGTGAGCTTCCACATTTTTGAAATTAACACTTTTCCACCTTTTAATATCACGGAAGTAGTTTAGTATATAAAAACTGGTTTCTTACTGAATCATCAAGTGAGGAAAACTCCATTTTATACTCTCGATTTTGTTTACCTTTGTTAAGAGTGTTTTAAGTAAATAATATTTACAATAACAGTTGCACAGTGAAGAAATAGCGAAAGAAAGAGGAAAACAGACGATACTGACGTCCATATCTCTTTTTCTATCTGGTTAAACGCATGGACGTCAGTACCGTCTGTTTTTTCCTCTTTCTGCTTCTTGTCCCTCGCTACTTCTTCATTATCGTGTAATGCATAGATTGAATTTTTTTTTCATATAAAAGCGAAAACGGCTTTTGCGCGTTCGATTTGACATTTTTGAAATATCTCTAGAACAACCACTCGTGGTACAGTTATTATGAGTCATTTTTAGGTATATTTTCTGAAAATTTCATGGGTAGTTATCTGGATATTCACAGAAACAGTAGGCAATATGGCTATTTTGTAGCATTTTGACCTTAGATGGCCACCAAATCGCGGTGAAATGTTCTCAAATCAACCTATTACAAGATAGTTTATCACGAGCAATCCAAATCTGAAACAATAAATCCACCCTATCATTGAATCTAAAGAATGTTATTATTGATTTAGAGATTTAACAAAATACGTGTTTTTATTATTATTATTATTATTGTTATTATTGTTATACAAAGCAACCAATATTGAAACACTCGACTCAACAACACAGAAGACATTTGGAACTATCATGAAATAGTGTTGTTTATTCAAGTGATTTTCAGTGTCATTATAATTTAACTGATGCGTAGTAAAAAATATCAATATTGATAAATTTACAATATAACCGTTTAATTGATTATCTTTCTCTATTAAGCTTTGTGATCGGTATTTCAAATAAATTAATTAATCCGAAGTTTGGACAAACATTATTGAATCTGAAACGGGATTGTGATTTGAAACGGAACAGACAAAAAAATCACTTCCGAAAACTTAGGAAAATTTATTCTAAAACACTAATTTTCTGTGCAGACAAAGAACAGCACAAGAAAATTTCAACCAAATCATGCATAGAGAATGTGAAATGTGTTAAAACATAATCATCAAGCATGTTGTAGTTTATAAATGTTGATACATTATTATTTAAATAAATTAAAATGTTACAAAACTGTTGATTAAGAATCATTTCCAAATCCTTCGGGAAAATAACATACAAACTAGATTACTTCTCTCACTTCAATCTTCGCTGATAATTTCATATTAGCTGCACTCAATAACCCTTGAATAATATTTAGTATTTTAGTTACACATTGTACAAACTGAGAAACTTCATTTTTTGGAAGGTCTAGCATTTTTGTGGATAATGAATTAAACTTTAGTCAGATTGGAATGGTGCTATTGGAATGGTTAGCCAGATTGGAATGGTGCTATAGCTCTATTAGAAAGATAATCCAATTGCCTCGATAGAACCTATATTCGTATATTTTCTGTGAATACTATAAAAGTGTCACCGAGCCATGAGAGACATTGGCCCAATCTTCTGTGAATACTAATTGGTTAATAAAGCATTCAATGAGATCAAATGAAACTCTCTTAAATATTCTTTTAAATTTTTACTTTAGTTATTGGCAACGATTTCATTTATTCTTGACCAACAATTTCGTTTTCTGATCTTTGAGTAAATCATTTATATTATATAACATATGATACTTTATTTAGATGTTCACCTACACTACCTGTAATATGTGAATACAATCAAATTGTGTCAAACAGGTAATTTTTCTACAATTTCGAGTAAGAGCAACAATGCTTAAATGAAAATACAATTTAAAAAAAATTGATCAATCAATTGCACAAAAGCAAATTGTTTGCTTCTATGGAATGTTTTTTTTTAAATAAATAACCGAATTCACAGTGTATTTGTCAAGTTGTGTTGACAACTCAGATAAATCTGAAAGAAATTGTTATTTTGTAGTTGCTACCAGCCGCAAAAAGTTATTATGAACAAAGACCGAATTGGCTTTTACTTCTACTAGAAATTGTTTTTTATTCAAGTGATGCAATTAGGCGACGATATTTAGGGCCATTTGATCCCAAGCCAGTGACTTTGTACAGCGAACTTTCAATTTCCTTGATATTTATAGGACGTCCATCGAACGGGTCGATTATATGTGATCCACGAATAGCAAATAAAATATCCTTTCTAGGGCCACCAAACGCGATGCCGTTAAGTCCAGAAGGTAATTGAACAATGGTCTTCCTGTAGTTTTTGTCCTGAAAAAAAGAAGATACAGAATCATAGCATTTTACATTCATATAATATTTTCATATTTATTCACCTTGGGTCAATTTTCCAAACTGAACCATCAAAATAGCTTACGGTGTATACAAATCCATCAGTGTCTGTGTCCAAGCTAATTGGCCAACTGCCAGAAGCTACGAAAATTATTTAAAAATAATTCATTTTTTTATTCTTTTATCGCATCTTTTAAGCCATTGAAAATCGATTTAAGTATAAAGAAGTATTGGAAATTGTTCATGAATTACGTGAAGTATGGAAGTCGAATATAACATGACCGTTGCCTAAAATGAAAAAAATAAAACTAAATTGTATCATTTGTGTATTCGTCATTCATAAAATGATCTTACAAATATTCTCTTTTGAATCTAGCTGGAAGCCGATGATCGTCCACGTACAAGTGTCAATGTGATAAAGCATATTTCTCTTTACATCAGAAGCAACACCCGTCGTCGACATTAAACCCGTAAACAGAAGTTCTGCTTGTCTTAGATTCACATACCTATAAAATGATGAATTGGCAGGTCCACTGCAGAATGAATCGTGGAATGTTCCTCCGTAGAAGATCCCATTTTCACTTGGACGTCCAACATCCCAGCTGCTTCCCGGATCGTTTAATTCGACACCAAATAGTGTGCCCACAATATTAGCTGTCGGAGATCTTCCATCCCATTCAATTATTTCGGTGTTGTGACTGATACCGACGGCAAAATGGTTCTGGCTTTTATTACACTCTGAACTCATCGGAAGAATGAATGTGGGAGATGCTTGTCCGACTATAGAAGCGCCATATGTTTGGTTTTCTCCATAGTCATAGCGATAAATTGATGTTTGACTGCGATTTGCGAACAAATCCACATAGTAAATAGATCGGGTGCAATCATCCCAATGGATCGCTTGTGGAAAAGCAGCTGCGGGTGCTGGAAGCATTACAACTTGAGGTTCTTGTAAAGATTGTGGCTGTTGTGGATATTGAGGTTGTTGTTGGAGAGGTTGAGGCTGTTGCGAAGCGGAAAAATTTTCAGGTTGCTGCGAAGCATGAAGAGATTCTAAAATGTATCAATAAATCTTAATTTATAAACGAATTTAATCACATTTTACCGAACAAACCACACAATGAATTAAAACACTAGAAAAAACGATGATTTTCAACATTTTGAAAATGACAACTTTTTTTTGCTCCGAATAATTTTATCAGCGAGCCAGACCAGCGATAAATACCAATTTACAGATGCAATAAATTTAAACTTTTTATTGTTCTCATTTCTAAAACCATCATTTGATATTTATTCATAACCAATCTCTGCTTCGCCTCATCTACAAATAATTTGATTGCTTTGAAATCATGACATAATTTCATTATCTTTGACTAAATATCGTGTCAGTCAACCGTAAATCGAATGATAAACACAGATAAACAATTAAATTAATCAAACAGATTCTTATGTGTGCCCTACGTATGTCGTGAGATGTTAATTCTTTTTGGCAGTATTGACATTTATACATAAACGATTTTCCATGATTATTGGCTTGATGAACTTTCAAATCTCTCTTGTATGCATACGATTTGCTGCATTCAGTACATTGGAAGCGTTTTTCTGTTGGTTTCATGTTGTGCTCTCTATCAAAATGTTCTTTCAAGTAATTTTTTCGTGAGTAATTTTTTTTTGGTACATTGATGAGGTTTTGGTCTTATCCCGGATTGAAATGCACATTATCCATATATTTTTTTAATTTTTTATTTTGTGTGTACGTTTTTTCGCACTGTGAGCATTGATGGCGTGCTGAAAAAAAAGAATAGACATTCCAGTAAGTTTTTTGTAGGATAGGAGACAAATAAAATTAAAAAAAACACATTCTTCTAAAAAAAACAATAATTGAATACCAAAAGCGGACAAATATCAACCAAAAATAGAACAGATAAAGCAATGATGATTTCATTCAGTTGCCAGATTATACGTTGAAATGCCAAAAATCGATGCGTCGATTTGTCCCGAACTCTAATAAATATTTACTTTAAATTTTGAATTCGCAAAATCCAATGAACGAAATCCAAAAAGGTGACATTTCCGCTCTTGGTTTTTTTCTAGTCTTGTATAGTGAGCGATATTATGTAAAAGAGAATGTAAAAGACTCACCTGCCATAGCAGAGGTTTGATGCAGCAATACTTGCCGTTGTATTATCTGTATTTGCTCATCACACACTCAATATTATAGCGACATCTATTATTAAAATAGCTTGTAGTAAACGCATTCATAGCATTTCACTGTAGTTTCGATGTTACCTATTAAATTCCCCTGTGGTATGTAGTTAACAAGTGTCAAACATGAATGTGTCAGTACTACAAGCTATTTTAATAATAGATGTCGCTATAATATTGAGTGTGCATATGCAGTGTAATAGAATTAAATACTAAATTTAGTGTCAAGTATTGATGGAGGCTGATAGATTTTCATCTAGATGTATTTATGTAAATCGAACAAATATGTGTTAGACAGGTCTCACGGAGCTTCTGGTTTTACTAAAGGTACTAATATTATTAGCCGGCTGTTGTACAGCACTTCCATCGTATTTAGCTCGTCTTTTCGGAGTTTGAGAGTCCGATTCTTCAGTCGGTGAATTACAGAATCTATAATTGGATGCAACATAATTATATTAGACGGCCTGAGAAGAAAAACCTTTCCTACAAAACCTGTGCGCAGAACACAAACACAGAAATTTTTTAGTCAAAAGGCGAACAGCAAATTTGCGAGCGCAAAAACCTAATATATTTACAGCGAGCGCAAAAGCATAACAGACCTACTTATACGGAGTTTGCATGCTAGTAGGCTTGTTATACTTTTGCGCTCGCTGTTAATATATTAGGTTTTTGCGCTCGCAAATTTGCTGTTCGCCTTTTGACTAAAATATTTCTGTGTTTGTGTTCTGCGCACAGGTTTTGTAGGAAAGGTCTTTCTTCTCAGGCCGTCATTAATATTGACATTTTCATTGAATTCAACTGAATTAACACTATGACTGTTCTTGGGGCATCCAGGGCCCCCAGAGAACTTTAAAGTTGAATAAAAGTACTAAACAGTGTATAAACCAACCGGAGTTAAGTCTCATTGTATAGATTGAACATTTCTCTACACGAATGACATATACACATATGCATATGTGTGAGTATGTGTAAAAAACGCTGGATTATTCCATACCGAGAACATGACGTATTTGAAACGTCTAACTCCATCTACGGATTTTTCCAGCAGTTGTGTTCTATTGAGTTGCGGTTTCAACTATTTTTGGGCGAAATTATCTCAAAAGTATGCTAAAATGAGTTATTTGTCATGCGAACGCTCAAACGACTACTGTTAATGTACGCACTGATTCAGTGGACATGCAATGGTTACTAGATGACAAATTTACAATACACTCGAGTGCGTGTATTTGCGCGTACATTTCCGGTAGCCGTTTGAGCGTTCGCATAACAAATAACTCATTTTTGTATATTTTCGAGATAATTTCGCCCAAAAATAGTTGAAATCGTTATATATCTACTCGATTCACAGCTACTGGAAAAATCCGTAGATGGAGTTAGACGCCCGTACCAAATATAATGTATTGAAACTCCATATACATGCTCGGAGTATGGATTATTCTTGGGGGACTACAGGGCCCCATAGCTATTTTATATTATAACTGGACTATGATAAGAGATATCGACTTGGTGTCTATGACGAAGTTGTAGTACTCAAGCTGCTCTACAACTTTGCCGAAGATACGAAGTCGTTATCTATTTATTTATTTATTTTATTTATTTATTATCTCTTATCAATTACGCGAGAAACCGCGAAAAACCGCGAAAAAACGCGTTTTTTTCCTTATCATTTTTCACGGAAGTTCCGTGACGGAGCTCATAAAAGATAACGAAATAATGAATGAAAATAAAAGTAGTACTCGACCAGAACTACAACTTTGCCTTGGACACCATCCCGGTATCTCTTATCACTTCCGTGAAAAATGATAAGGAAAAAACGCGTTTTTCTGCGGTTCCTCGCGTATTCCGCGAAACTGATAAAAGATAACGACTTGGTATTTTCGGCAAAGTTGTAGAGTAGCTTGAGTACTACAACTTCACCATAGACATCAAGTCGTTATCTCTTATCAGTTACGCGAAAAAACGCAAGTTTTTGCTTATCATTTTTCGCGAAACTGATAAGAGATAACGACTTGGTGTCTGTGGCAAAGTTGTAGTACTCCACCTGCTCTACATTTCTGTCGAAGAGGCAAGTCTCTTACTTCTTATCGGCTTCACTAAAACGTGGTGGGAAAATTTCGCGATTTTCGCGTTTTTTTGCGTTTTTTCGCGATTTTTGCGGAACTGATAAGAGATAAGCAATATTTGTTGCAACAAAATTATAGCAAACCTCGAGTATAACAACTTTGCTTTAGACACTAATTTGTTATCTCTTATAACAGTCCAAATTTAATATGAAATACATATGGGGCCCTGGAGGCCCCCAAGAACTGTAATAGGTAAAAAATATGAAGAACAGTTAAAGTGTTAAAGCAAATCTAATTCACCTCGAAATGCACAGTCGCGTCTGGTATCAAATGAAAACAGTGGCTTTGTTGGCGCGGCAGTTGGTCCATTTGTGGAGTTGGTTTGGCAGTTGGTCCAGTTGGTTACTTCAGCTCCTTCATGTAATTTTCGATATTAAGTGGCAGTTTACACAATTGGTAGACCATACTGTGGAATGCTGCTCGCTTATGTGCCATCGGACGGTGTGAATCAGAGGGGATATAACACGGTGTATTTGACGGTTTTCCATAAACAGAAAAATCAATCGATCCATCGGTTTTTCGATTCAAAAGCACATCTAAAAATGGTAAACAACCATTCTCTTCTTTTGCGGTGGTGAATTTGATTGTTGGCCACTTTGAGTTTAAATGTGCTAAAATCGGTTGTTCCTCTTCTTTTTCGATTATTGAAGTATAGTCATTTCCATTAATATCTGTTACGAAGAAATGTCAAAGCAAACAAGACGAAACATACTCTTGGTTGTTATGTATCAATGGAGACGAACAAATGAATTTTCACTACAGATGTCACTGCATCAAGTGAAAAAGTCATTGAATTTGGAAGGAAAAGTGGAGGCTTTGGCACAAAATGACCTACTTGATCGCGTTGCTTCTTCAAGATGTTCATGCATATTAAACTCATAATCACCACGGAATCGCTGTCAAGTTGTGCTCAGAATTTGGTCGAAGGAGAAATGATTTTTGAATGCAAAAACATTGCTTAATAATATGCATTCAGCGCTGCTGAACGGATACTCGATCCAAATGATAAAGAAATTAGTTGCGACTCATTCAAAAAAGATTGAGAGAACAAATTCAACGACTTTATCATGTGAAAGAGAGCCAATGAAGAGAATAACCTTCCCATACATTCCCGAGATCACAAACAAACTCAAAAGTGTATTTGAAAAACACAATTTTGAAATAGGTCTCAATTCCAGCAGTAAACTACAAAATACATTGGTGAATCTCAAAGATAAAACCGATGACATCAAAAAATCGGGAATTTATGAAATTTCATGCAGCGAATGCGAAGAGAAATACACCGGCCAAACGAAACGTAGCATAGAAACTCAATTGAAAGAACATCTAACGAGTGTGTAATTGTGCATAAACGCCAAGCAACAAAATCAGCTGTGGCACTACACGCGCTAGAAACCAACCACACGCAATGGGATACGAGCAATATCAAACTGAAAAAAACAAGTAAACACGGCACACATACTCGACGCATACGAAAGCATCTATATGTATCTAAACAGAAGCATCGCAATGAACAATATGGAGGCCCCAAAACGCTCACCATTGTTCAGATCGATTGAAATCTATTTCAAGTAGCTGTTGTTCTGTTACACCGAATTTTATTGTTGTAGTTGTTGTTATTTTTTAGCGTGCGACCGCACATTGTTGCAATTTCTTTCTTTTTTCTCTCACTCACAAATGTCGAAATGCATCCGAACCAAAATTTCGCATATAAATGAATATTCATATTGATTTATGTTTGAAATTTGAAAAAGCGAAGTCACTCTAAGGTGTTTTATTTAAAATTTAATCGTAGATTGAAAGAATCTTTCCATGTATTAGACTTTGCGGTACAAAATTTTTTTGTCGTTTTTCCACAACTACTCAGAAACATGAATGTTGACTTAAAATCAAAGCACAAACAGAGTGCAATTTTATATTGCCTCTTTTTTTCCAAAAAAAGAAACATGAATGTTAGCATTATTCGGTATAATCGCAAAGTTTGTAAAATTCAATTACACGCAAAGAAATGTAATTTATGTGTCTAGTCGCTAAGGAATTAAAAAGATGTGAATTTTGTTCCGGCCAATAACTTCTCAGAAGAGGAGAGTAAAACCCATTAAACGATGGATGGCTACAAATTTTACAATCATCATAAATCTGTCATCTTTGTTTTGCCGCGGGGAAAAAATCGTTCAAAAAGACAAAGAAAAGAAAATAATATTACCTCTAAAAACATCTAAGACCATCTTTCGAAAAGTTCCAAATTTAATTTCTTTCTTCGCGAGTCGTCATTTTCAATTTAATGATTTTCCTTTTAATTATTGAAAAAAGCAAGGGCGCTGCAATGAATTGCTTTTTTCCGGGTCTAAGCGATGAAATAATTCTTGTTTACATGTAATGCGCTTCCTTTTCGAATTCATTTCTAATAGGATTAAGTGCACGATTTATCGTTTTAATTAAACGACCGAAAAAACGTTCATTTTCATTCGGAAATGAATCATAAAGTTTAATGGTGAAAGACATTTCGAATAGAAAATGACTCATTTTTATGACTCAACGCGTCTTATAGCTGTCTGAACGAACGAACGTAGTAGACGATGCCGAAAACTATGCTTTGTGATGTTCATTCCAATAGGCCCTTTTGAATAGTTCAAATTCGTTATCAATTTCCAATTTCGGTCGCATGTAAATGTGTCGTCGTCATCGGTTGCTGCAGCGAGCCTTTTGTATCGCACTCTGCTGATAACAGGCTTCGGATCGTCGTCCAAACGCCAAACGAAATGGAAAACGAGATAATGACATCAGTTTCAGTTTGACGGTCAAGTAGTCTAGTGAACGGAATAATTTCCAAGTGTTGAACAAGTTGAATCAAGTTGCAAAAAGCTGCAAAAATTAACCAAATCTGTAATTTGGTGATGAATATATCGATCGTAGTCCTTTGTGCGTAACTTTCTACGTTATATTTCCATTAAAAGAGATATTTTTCTGCGCGTTTAGTGCAATTGAACTTTGTACTGAGTGTCGAAACAGAATAGTTCTACTTTATGAAGCTAATTGGCCAGTTTTACAACAGTAGTGATAATGAGTGTTTTGTTTGTATTTGTAGGCGCCATTTTGGCTTGTGCAACAACATGCCGATGCCAAGGCATCGAATTGGTGGGTACGGATCGTGAAAACATCTACGAATACGTGGGAAGTGTGAGTGTGAATGCTCAAACACCATGGGATGATCAAACGGGTGGAAAATTCCCGCAATCGGCTGGTTGGAAAATACGCGGTACAGTGAAGCTGCAACGTACCAACGACCAAACTCTCGTTGTATCGGTAAGAGTAGTCAATAAGGCAAAATCTCATTAAAACAATCTGTTCGTAGAAACGAATGAAATTATCACCCAGTGGAATTATTACAAAGCATGTTTACATGTGCTTGTTATTGACTGACTGGCTGTGAAATGAAAACGATATTACATTGCGGCATCCAGTTGAACTTTGCAGCAGATCAAATTTGATTCGTTTGTCGTTCACTTACAGCGTCTAATTCAATTGTTGAGTATAGGCATTGAAAGTCGGTTACTCGGTGCTATCAGCATATTTGTGATAATGATGACGCGATGGGTGATAGGTCAATATTTCACATATTTTTGTATTTTGCCCATTATCATAATGCAAAATGATAGTGTATCTCTAGTGTCTTCCATTTCTTTCAAGCTATTTTTAAAATAGGCTATTTATAATTCCACAATCTGACAAAAGTTACGTTGACATTCATTTCCTGGTTGCTCTTGAACGTCAACAATATCAAACATCCAAACCAAATCCGTCTCTTCTTCTTCTCTCTCTCTCTGTGTGTGTAGCTGGCCGTCGAAAAGATAACGGTCGACAAGCAGAATGGAAATGCAGCCGTATTCTATCAAAACAAGGAAATGCAAACACTCTACAACCCATTCAAAGTTGTGTATGTCAATGACACAATTGATTACATTCAATTCAAGGCGCGCGATTTGTTGTGGTCGAGGAATTTTAAGCGTGCCATTGCATCGGCATTTCAATTGAAAAACCTGAAGAATGGTGCGTTCGTGGAAGAAGAGGTAACGTAAAATGAAAACCAAAATAGCTAGAGCATACAGATGAAATTGCATTTTTTCACCCTTTTTTTTCCTTCTATTTAATACGCAATCAGCCCGGCATTCATGGCACATGCACCACGGAATACTATGTAACAACAAAATCAAATGGTCACTTGTCGATAAGGAAAAATCCCGTGCTCTATACATGTCGACCGCATTCGTGTGGCATCCATTCGCATCGATCAAATGTGCCTGAAACGAAATGCTTTGATGGCATTGAATCCACGAAGAATGTTATTGTTAGCAACGAAGCAATGTATGATTTAGCTCCACGAAACGGCGTTGAACAATCGAATCTGACGAAGGGTTTCGAAAACTATTATTTGGACCGTGTTTACGTGGAAGGAAACACAATGCTGCAAACATTTGAATCGACCGGTGAAACACAGTTGGTGGTATCGAAATTAACACTTACTTTTTCTGAATCAAATGAAATTGTGAATGCAATTGACGCTCACACCAATATGGATGCAGTGAAATCGAATCTAATCATTGAGGAGCATTCAATCAGCGATGCGACCGGTGAACGTCAAATATTCGAAACGGAGGAATTGGTTCATGTTGCCATCGATTTACTTGGTGCTTTAGCTGACAGTTTGGAAAGTGATGATATTCAGTTCGATGAGCCGTACGAACATCGTGTTGTCGATGTGATTCGTGTGTTTAGCCGTTGCGATTTTGAGTCGTTGAAATCTTTGTATCAATCGATAAGTGTTGGTAGTTCGTATCGTCAAGAGACGATGCGTAGCCTGCTGTATGATATTCTTCCGCGGACAGGAACAAAAGCAGCCGTTTTGTTGACACGTGATTTGATTGTGGAGAACTTGTGTAAACCAACAACGGTTCTTCAATTATTGATCACGCTACCGTTCCATATCACCGAAATGAGCGCTGATTTAGTAGTCGATTTGGAACCGCTCATGTGGCTTAGTAAGAAATGCAACAACACGAAAAATTTAATCCCAAATGAAACCATGATGAAATTTAAAACAAACTTATTTTCCAGGTATTGAACGACCTGACATTCGGCAGCTTGGTATTTTGAGCTTCGCCACTATTGTGCACAATGCATACTTTGCCGAAAAACTCTCTGAAAGTTCATTCGATAAGTATGTGCGCACATATTTCGATTTGTTTTTAGGTGAGAGACTGTTAACACCGGTATATGTGTACAGTGTACACGGCAATATCCGATTTTATGGCGAAAACAAAATATATATATTCTTGTACTTGCAGACAGTCATGATTACGAGAACAAATTGCTCTATTTACAAGCACTGGGTAACCTGAAATTGGGACTTGTTACCAACTACTTGGATCCCATCATTCGTGATGTTTCGCAGTCCGACGATGTTAGGTTCATGGCTACGTGGATAAAAGAATCGACAGCCGAACAGTCTACATCCAGTGAACGTAGGACAAATTACGAAACATTTTGGCCCATTTTCGAAAATCGTTCGGCACCCATTGAGTTACGTGTAGCGGCGTTCATGACACTGCTTACGTCTAATCCAACATCGGCACGCTTGATGAGCATTCACACACTCATGGAAAACGAAACAAATCCACACTTAGTGAACTTTTATCGCACCACATTACTCAGCTTGGCCGGTACCACACAACCATGCTACCAAAAACTGTAAATCATGATTTCGACTCTTCTCTTCTCTTCTTCGTCTTTGGCAAAAACAAATTTTGAATATTTTATGTTTATAGACGTCGTTTAACATCATCGATGATTCGACATTTGCCCAAAGCACCAGCCAAACGTTATTGGGTCACTGGCAATTACATATTCGACTATCGCAGCAGTGAATATGGTCTGGGCGCATCGTTACAAACACTTTTGATCGGCAACGGCAAGACACACTTGCCGCAAATTGCGTTCTTTAAACTGCGCCAAGAAGCCATGGGGAAATACACTAATGAATTAACGGTGAGTGCTTATACATTTCCTTTTTAGTTAGGTACTAATTTTTTTTCCCCAACGAATACCATTCCAATTTTAACTTTTTAAAATGCCATTTTCCCAAAGCTGTACATCAAAGCGCGTGGCCTGGATCATGTGCGTTTCGGTCAAATTGTCGAAAATGGGGCAACCATCAATTTGAGTAAATTAAGAGAAATTTTAACATCGCATAAAATGCCAACAGTCACAAAGACCCCGGTTCATCTGGAAATCATTGTGCAAATGGAAGGAAAAACCATTTTGTTCTTCTTTTTGAATCAACAATCATATAATGCATTAACCGAAGGCGACAGTAAGTTCGAAAAACTACCAATTTCTATCAGCAATTTAATGGAGTTTATTTTTCTCTCTGGTGATTTTAGTGCTGAATCGTTTGATGAAATTGCTGCACATGGACTCACACATCAATTTACAAAATTTACGCTGGCCATTCCATTCGCGGTACTCCGTTCCAACAGTCCTGGGCACACCAACCAGTCTAACCGTACAGAGTACAGTGCTATGTTCGCTTCGCGGAAATATTACGCAAAATATTCAAGGCGTTGAAATTGCGCGCAGCCACGAAATCGACCTACGGTACACATTCATTTTGTCAATGAAATCCCCAAAAGCCATCAAATTCATGACGGTTTATTTATTATTTGTAGTTATACATCGTTCACGGTAGTTACGTCGTTCAGTTACAATCCATTTTTGAATATGGAGCATTCGTTGAATCGCGAACAAGGTTTTTTGCTTTATTTACCGATCAACAATGATCTGAAATTCAATTTACAAAGATCATCGCTGTGGTTTTCATTCTTCCGCCCTGGCAATTTGATTAGCGGCATTTCATTGAAATCACGTATTCGCACAATAACACGCGGTCGACCATTACGAACGGACGAACATCCATACGTTGATATTACCGTTTATGAAGGCGATCCAAGTTTGGTGGTATGTAAAGCATTTCGATGCCATTCCAATTTAATTTAAACAAAATTTTAATTTCTTAAAAGGCAAGCAAACTAATCAATTACGAAATTGAAGACTTGGGCTTGATGATAACCGGTATATCGCATCCGTTCGATATTCTAAGTCACATGAAATTGATGTTTCACATGGAACCCTCTATTAATACATTGTAAGTTGAACCCATCTGCAAAAGAACCCAAAACACAGGAATAAAAAAATAAATCGAAACATTTCGTTTATAGTGTCTATCATGAAATGGAACCGTTGATGAAATTGTGGAGCTTGATACGAGTTAACGACATTCACATTGGCACAAACAAAAAGTTCACATTGCTATTTCATAATACGAAAAATACAAAGGTATTTCAAAAATTGAATTTCAGTATATTGAGGTATTTCCCAGAACACATGTGTTTACATCGAACCATTTTTTTCATCATCTCTTTCAGTTGGAAGGTCGATTTATAATCGTTCCGAACTCATTGAACGATGCTTCGGTCGATATACAAACGAGGACGGTCGATTTGACCTTTGAACACAAATTCGACGAAAATGTACTGCACAAATTGTCCATTGTGTTCGTTGTGCAAAATGATAAAGCAGTCAGTCGACACAGGAAGAGCGACCAAATAAAACTTCAATTGGCTGTTATCCATACGAATAAAAATCGAGAACTTTGGATGGTAAGACTAACGAATGTGTTTATTTAACAAGACAAAAATGTTCAATGTGCAGTTTTAGTGCTTAAAATTTGATACAATTTTGGTAATTAAAGTTAACCTTCGGTCGGTTGTTCCGTTGCTCCTTCGGCAGTAGCGGCAGCGGCTGCTGCTTCTGCACTTTGATCTTCGGTGCCATGGGGTTTTTCAGGAGAATCGGTTTCGCTTTGATTTGTCTCGTCTCCATTTTGATTGGCTTCATTCTCAATGGTTTCCGCATTTTGATTCGTTTCATCGGGAGTGTCTTCATTGACATTTTCACCTTCATCCAAATTATCGGTATTATCTGCATTGGTGTCGCTGGCTTCGAGTGGATTTATAGCATTTTCCACGTCCGACGGGTTTTCTTTATTACCTTCTTCTGTATTTGACACCGGTTCATTTTGAACATTTTCCTCGTCACATTTTTGTTGCTCATTATTTTCCTCATTTTTCGGTGGATCGTCTTCAACAGCAAGTGTTTGCACATCTACCTCGCTTTTATCACTTTCATTCTTTTCATCATTAGCTTCACTCGTATTTTTGCACAATTTCAGAGAATTCAATTCATTTACAGCTCCGACATTGGTTTCGTTTTGTGTCTCATTTTCCGTGTCTTTATGCATTTCATTTTCTGTATCGTTTTGCGTTCCGCATTCCACAAGTGTTTGTATGATTTCTTTGACACTGTCATAAAATGCCTTGACGCATTCAAATTCTGTCATTCCAAACGTGTGGCGATTTGTTAATTCAATGAAGTGTTCATTTTCTGCCGTTATTTTAATTGATGTAATTTTGATTCTCAACTTTTCGCACACGTCCCTAATGCAATCGGCCGATTGTTTGAGTTTCAAGCACACTTTACAACGAACACCCGTTCCGAGTAATTCAAGATTTGTGGTTAGCCAACCGTATCTCTCATGCCGTTCAAATTCCAAACCATTGCTGAATTTTCCAATCAATTCAATTAAATTCTTGTAAACCACACCTGAAATACGAAATGTACATTGCTTACATAGTAAAACCATAAAACTGAGTTACTGCAACAATTGATGCGAAATGCTCCACTTGAGTGGAAAATTTACCGAAATCTCCATTCATTTCTTTGGAAATGAATCTCAAGTGTTCTTGTTCATTGATGAGAATGGATTGAGTGCGAGCGATATTAATGTAAATCGCACGGCCGATTGGCCATAAAGTATGCTCTTGTGGGCTCATCGACCGAAAACCAATTCCACTCTTTTGTAATTCCTCGAAAATCGGTTCGTTTTCCTTTACATCGGAGATTTTATAGAATTCGCCTTCGATTTCCTTGTCATCGGTTTGAGTGGATTGGATTGCGTTTTGTACCTGAAATTTACAAACGTTGCCTAAGTTCTTATCGTAAAAAAAAAGATTCACAATGGATTCGGAATACTTACGGTCGTTAGGATGATTTCCAATTGATGTTCGTTGGTATCAGGTATGAATGGAATGTTCACAAGCGACCGACAACAACTGATTTCCGTGCATACAATCGCATCGTTCTCTAACTTTTCAAACACATTCACATCGCCCCAATTAAACTCCGGATATTTGCCAAACTCATCGACACAATGAACATCTTTGATAATTGGCTCGAATAAATCAGCAAACATGTTGTAACAATTTCCGTTCAACGCAATCACACCGTACGGATTTGCCTGCAATCCATCGACTTTAGCAATGCAATCAATAATTGACGGTTCATCGGATAGTTTGAGTAACTTTGTGAACAATTCCTCGGTCAAGTATTTCTTAATTAAAGTCTCATCGTATCTTGGATCAATGAATATTTCATCATACGAATTTGCTTTGTTCACACTATCCATGTGTTCGGCAAGTGGCCTGGAAAAAACAAGCTCATGTTTCACTTTGGCTAAAACAGCAATAAATTCACGTCACAGGAGTGAGCATTTCTTACGATTTCGATGACATCGTGTTGAGCATATGTTGGAGTTTAGCAATTTCTAGCCGAGCCAAGTTTAATTCATGCTCTTGTTTTTTAATCATTTGCGATGCATCCATGTCCTCGATTCGCTTTGGAATATCGGTGTTTTCATTTTCATCAGTTGGACGCTTGAAATGTTGCCGCACAAATGCCACCGCATCACTTGGCTTATCAACTTCATCGTAAAGTTTAATCAGTGCATAGCTTAATGCATCCATCACACCGGATACCTCCAAATAATGGCGATACTCAACACGTTTTAAATCAATCTAAGTAAGGACAAAACACAAGAGAAAAAATGTGAATATCATCGAACTTTGATTGAAAATCAAATTAAAAAATGCCACTTACTGCGTTCATCGTGTAGTCCGTACGTAATCTCGTTGAAAAATCGAAAGAAACTTTGAGGAGCGTAAATTTTGAGCTGCTGCACAATAAACGCTTCAAAGCAAAATATTTACATATTTTGCCAAAATCGAACCTACCACAACTCCAAACGACGATGAACATTAGTGTTCTAGAAGTATACGCAACACATTTTATGACTTGGATATTGATCAAACTTCAGCTAAACTCTTTTAAGCTTTTAATGGCATTTGAATTTTCTTTTTCTTTATAAAACCCCTCCGAGTTGAGTGCCGCATCAAAAACGTTCAGTAAATCAAATTACGAAAATTTTCCTCCAATATTCAAACACTTGAAGGTTTGCGAGTATATTGGTGTGTGTATTTGCTGTATTGAATGAAATCCTATTGGAAATTCGGCCTTGACATAATTTACCGTTGCCATGCAACTCATAATTGTGTTTGTAAACAGCTGCAGTTGGTTCCAATGTTTTTCAGTCACGGAATTCCAACTATTTCCATCGATTTAATAAATTTTTTGCTCACATTGCTGTAAGAGACTCGCATGCGACGTTTCCATGCTTAAGAAGCACATTTCTTTGTAAACAGCTTTAATAACACTTACCTCGAATGATTTATGCACATCAAAGGCGTGCACTGCATGTTTAGCTTCTTCTTACGATTTATACGGTGAATGTGCCAGAATTCTTGGAATTTCAATTTCAATGTTTGCGCAACGAGAGAGAGAGAGAGAGAGAGAGTTTGCATGCCACAAATTAAACAACATTAAAATGCAAGCATTTAAAGCATGCTCCGTGCTCACATTGCGCGCACACACATCACCGACACAGATCCACATCAATTAAAAGTGGCTGTGTGTTTAACTTGGCTGCGAAATTAATTGGTTCTGAATTTGACTTTTGATTTCAGTTAACCGGTGACGCGACGTATGAACCCATTGTATTTTTAAAACAACCCTATTTGCTGCGAGGCATCATTAATTTTGGCAACAAAAATGAAACGACCACGACATTACTGCAGAATCCAACGAAAATCATGTTTGAAGTGTTTGCTGACATTTTGTCGAGCACAAAAACGGCTTACGAACAAATACCAGACACAAAGCATTGTCCCCGTGAACTGCTTAAATTCAGTCCGCCACCTCAAAATAAAGTGTGCGATCAACATGTTTATCGTCATTTAACCACGCTACATGAATACGGGCTGAATATTACCTTCCACAATGTAAGTTGAAATGAATTTTTCTCAGTCGATTTCGGCAAGCGAATTTCGCTTCATGTACACAAATTTCAATCATTTTGTTCATTTTTTCTTTTCTCTTCGCCAGAATCCAGAATGGCTGCGGGAAGTCTTAACTCGATTCGACTATTTCATGACATCACTATCAACTCATATTGATTTGTACAAATTCACCGATGGAATCGATGCACAAATCAATACATTCTCCGATAAATTACAATTGACAGCTTTTCTAAATGGAAAAAATGTGACCATTCCCAACTTGCCTCTGTGGGTGAATCGAAATTTTGACGCAAAATTCGATCGACCTGAACAATTGGTATTCAGTTTGGGCAGTGCACGTAAGTTCTCTCATGAATATTCAACTTGTTTTGCATGCGTAATAAATTCATTCGTCTTTTTAGATATGTGTTCGATGGTGTCAACCGATGTGAATACTTTCGATGATAAAACAATTGCATTGGCTGATAAAATCAAGCCCAATTGTTCAGTATTATTAGTGGCCGATTGTTCAATCACATCTCGATTTGGCGTGTTTGTGAAACCAGTGAAACACGAAAGTGGTTTGGATGCGTTCGCAATCGAAATAAATATCGATGATCACGTCATCAAGTACTCACCTCGTGCTAATGGCAAAGATTACGTTCAATTGAAAAACTTGACGGAAATTGAAGTCACATCGTTCATTACACCTCTTGGTGAAGATGTCGAACTGAGGTAAATTTCCACATGGCTTCTGAAAAAATGATATTTCCCATGAAAGACACAATTTTTATACCAAAATTCTTCCAATTTGCAGTGTTCATGTCAATGCAGAAAACTTGCTTATCTTTGAATTTTTCAATAACATTCAAATTCAATACTATCGCGGCAATATTCTATCGATCCATGTTCCATCCGCAAACAAGGCCAAACTCTGCGGTGTTTGCAGCTTACCGTTCAATGCAGTCAATGATTATAATTACTGTAGTTGAAATTCAAAGATCTTTTTTTTACTAGTTTTTGATATTATCTGATTATTGAAAATTTATGCAAATTTGAGAGAAAAATACAACTTTTGGAGGATAAACATTTAGGAAACAATTATTATTAGGTGTGAAACAAATATTTTGAATAAAAGTTATTTTTAAATCTTTTCCTTGAAAAGCTCTGCAATTTGAAGTCAATTGCTCAAATCAATGGCTCAAAATCAAAATGTCGGACATTTTTGTGTCATTTGAGGATATCTCGACAATTTTCTTTCATTCCATACTTATCTATTTCCATATAAATTTATCAAAATAAAGTTTACATTAAACAAAAATAACTCCGAAGAATTTCAACACATTGATGAAGTCCTTCGAATTCTGACCTGGTAGATTTCCTTTTCCGGCTATTTATCTAACAATCTATTTACATCTATGGATGACTACCTTATTCATGTCATTTGCAGAAATGCAATTATCATTTATCAAAACGGAATGAAAAAAATTGATTTCGAATGATACCGTACAATCATTATATTGAAACACACAGTGTAAAATGAGGACAACACAAATTTAATCAGCATTGAGTTGCGACTTCAAAAGTTGTATGTGAGCGTATCTTTTTTGTTTGTAAATATGAAGCTGATAAGTACGATAGCATACCCGACGGCACCTCCTATAGGAAATGGATTATTGGGTACTACATGTTTGACTATCTTCTATGTTATATGTGATAAAATTTCAAAAGTATACACAACTAACAATTAAAAAATGTGTAAAGAATATGGAATGGCATTATTGTCAGCAATGTTTAGTTTTATGACATTGTCATGTACTAAAGTTTGACATGAATAATAACCAAATAAATATATGATGTTGGTGATTTGATCTAGTCTTTTTCCTCTTGATACAAATACATATTGCACACTATTGAGAAACTACGAGCTTATCATTTTAAATTATAAGTGGGAATCTGATAAAATGAACATATAAATCACGCCAATAAAACATTTGAATAAGTTGACCTCTAAATTTTGTAAAAAAAGCTGGAATCGTTGTGATAAATAAATGTATCAAAATGTGTTGGCGAAGATATGGTTATAAATAGGAAAACGATGTGCATTCAGATCATTTTTCCAGTGTGACTATAGACTTAGAGCCAGTGATAGTAGACTATCACTTCATAAAATTCCTGGATCATAGTACTAATAAAATGATTTAGTCAACA